AGAATAAACATTCTCACTCCCCAAAAGAAAACCATGAGGATAGCAAAGACACACTGGACAAAAGTAATGCTGAAATGCAGCAAGGAAACACTAACCTTCCATCTCTATGTCTGGCCTGTGGGACACACGGTGCTGTCATCTGTCTCCAATGGGCTTGGGTAGTCCTGTCCATATGGCTTGCTATTTGCAGCATACAAGGCCTTTGTTTTATGTTGGCTTCACTCACAGCCTGAATGTTTCCTAGCCAGACTCTTCACTCCCAGTGCGACATAGTCTTTACCTTCATGGCTTTACAAATTGGCCTCTCAGAGCCTCTTTACAGGGAATCCAACACTGTCATACACTGGCTGACCTCAAATATATATATTTTTTCTGAGTGCAAGCCTCAGTGATTCGATACATTCATGTCAGAAAAGTAGCACTTCATGGTGACTTCTGCTGCCAGGTTGAAGTATAACTGGGTCCTTTGAATAACAACTGTAGCTGCATCCAGGTGTAATTCTTGACCTTGTATCTCTTTACAGTTACAAGAAAAAAAATAATGCTTGCTGTTTGAGTTACACAGCCTATGTTAATCTTTCATGATAGCCAGAGCTGACTAAGATGGTTGTCTAATGGGTTTACTTAAAAACACAGTGTACAGATGTGAAAATATACCAAGAAATTATCATGGTACAGTTTGACTCAAGACATTAGAGAGATCCAGTATTTTAAATCCAAGTCAAAACATTCAGCAAGGTCTCTGAGTAGTTGGCTAGAATTCCAGTATGAGGCTTGATTTCCCTGTTGTTGTACAGGTCTTCCAATTAGAGAGTTGTTGGTTACTGCACAGGTATGCATGCCACTACAGCACTACAGATCTATCATGCCATGTATTGTTTGAGTTCATAGTCACCCTAGCTGGGTAGGACTCATGGTTGCTTTCCTCCATTGGAAGCTTGCATGGAACCTTTTGGTACCAAGAAAGTTGGTCCACAGGGAGAAGGCTTTCAGGACTGTTCAAGACTTAGGAATTCTTACATATTTACATATATGTGTGTAACAATAAACTATGAGGCCATGAATTTGAAGGAGAGCAAGGAGGGGTATTTGTGAGAAGGTGTGGAGGGAGGAAAGGCAATAGGAAAATGATTTAATTATAAGTTCAAAAAATGATTTTAAAATGTCAACAAGCATTCTCTATGACATTAATAAAAACATAGCAATCATTAACATATTATTATTTGGTGAAATATGAGTCATAAAATTAAGATTAGATAGAGTTAGAAATAAAGTCATTTTCAAATACGTATTGAATTCTTGCTTTGTACAGATTAAGAATTACAATCTGTGCAGAAATTTCACCATATATTTTCAGATAACGCATCAAAATATTTTCTGGCAGCAATCATGTTGAAACAAAATGTACTTATTCCATACATTCTCTTCATTGGATTTCTAGAGTCATTATAGAACACTCTTTCCCATACATGACTGGTGTGTGCTTAATAGGGCAAAATGCTCTGAATTTCAAACATTAATGTGCATAGCTTCTGGCATCACAGAAACATTGAGAGGGTTTAATGAGGGACCTGATTGTGATTGTAGATAAACATTATCCCTGAGATGGTTTCAGCTGGAAGCCTGCATGGGTCAGAAATGAAGATAGACTCAGGAAGAAGAGTTAGAGAGCTGTGTAGTGTAGATCTGCTTAAGCTCCTGAGGGATGGGAAGGGCTCAAAAAACATGAAGGAGTGGGTTTGGAAAGACTTGGGAACTAGATGAGGGGAAGGGAGAAAGTGAAAGAACTTCAGGGTCTATATGTTTATACACCAACACACCCTGGTTTTACAAATCAATCATGAAGGGTATATTGGATTTGGACTGATAGAGCCAGAAGAAAAAAAAATATTTAAGTACTATTTCATCTCCTTAAAAATCCAAGTCATTTTAATTCCACCTGGGATCAATTCTGTGGTTCACTGTATTGTGAAAAATTATACTTTTAGGAGAACTATGAATGATACTCAGTCTTCATTTCATTTAAAAATATGTATATATACAATATGTGTATATATATATATATATATATATATATATATATATATATATATATATA